TTGGGAAGCCTGAGGGGAAGAGACCTCTGGGGAGACCTAGACGTAGATGGGAGGATAATCTCAGGCGGGATCTATGGGAGATAGGCGTTGATGGAGACTGGATTTTGTTGGCCGAGGACAGGGTCCGGTGGAGGGCTTTGGTTAATTCGGTGATGAACCTTCGGGTTTCAGCCATCCAGTTAGTTAGTTTATTTGAACGAAGATAACTCCAAAATTTTATTTAAACATACACAAATTTAATTAAAGAGACTATGGTAAATAATTGACCCTGATTTGTCTTTGTATTAGGCACGGAGCAGTTCGCCATAATTAAGGTTAGCAGCCGAATATTACGTGTACTTATATCCCCAATCCAATAAATTTTAATAAAACCTGAATGTTTACTTTTGTTTGAGAAACATAAATAATGCGTTCAGAATTCTTATCAGAAAATGGAAAAACAAATGGGAAAGCACCATTTATAAATCCAGGCACAGATTTTAAGATAATATAATAGTTTATGTCGAAGAAATCAGGTAGAAAATTGTGGGCCCTGTGGCAGTCATCTGCGGCCACAGTAATGAACCTCTAGTTTCCATAAAGGGTAGAATATTTGTGAATAGGTTAACGACTATCAGCTTGTCAGTAAGGACTCTTTTCCGTCTCTTCTACTGACAGTCAGCTCAAGTTTGAGTCTGCGCCCCACGGTTTACACACCCCCGAGACAGTTCCGGGACTTCCAGTAATTTCCGGAATAATCTACGCCAGCCCAAATGTTTCTAGCGTGGTGTGCTGTTTCCCCACCGTCTGCATTCCAGCCGAGAAGGTTCCACAAGTCGATGCACGCTGCATACTGGCGCATTTTTGTGTTTCATGGAAAATAATTAATTTTTAGTAACTTCCTTGCCATAGCTCATATCATCCTGAATGGCACTTATCTCATTGTTCAGTGCGGCCATTATCTTCCTGAAGATCGTCTGAATATTATTTATGAATTCAGTCCGTACCGCGAAGAAAACACTACACCTCACCATTACGAAAATCAGCTGGTTAACCCTTTGAAGCCGAAGCTCGTCTGAATATTATTTACGAATCCAGACCGTACCGCGAAGAAAACACTTCACTTAACCATTAGAAGTCGAATCAGGCGGTACCACATAAGATTTAACAAAAGAACATCCCGGTCAAAGCCTTAATCAGATGTAATGATGCACAAATTTTATCGTGACGATTATCGGTAATTAAACTGTCCTTACTCCTTAAAGACGGATTAATAACGATATCTTATCACAGTTATTTTAAGTGTTAACATCATGAATTGTTTTCTTGGTGGCAACTTCGTTACTTTATGAATAGTGCAGCCTTGATTACAGGTGACCTCCACACTGGTTCTCCCTCGTCTTCACTCTGAGCACACCTGCATCACTCAGATGTTCCCACGACCGTTTCTGAACAACCAGTAAACAGCTGACTGTACACATTGCGCACAGCTAATATGGCCTTCCGTAAGGTTACTGTTGAAACTTGTGCTTTGTAAATGTGTTTTTGTATGCACGTGCATATAAAACTTCGTGTCATATTGCTTTAGAAGCAATAAATACATCTTTTGTTAGTAACTATGAGCGAGTCTTTGTTATTTCAAGTTCCAATGACTTTTTATTCTCCTAGTGTTGTGGCACGAACATTGTTTTTCTTCTGTTATGGCCACACAACAAAAAAAACTGCTTCTTATGTTATTCTCCACAAAAAATAGTTCCTATTCTCAAGTTGTTTGATTTTTATGTTACCTTTAAGGCAGAGTTTTTCATGTGTAAAATATTTAAACTCAAGTTGTAATATTTTTATGTATTATTTATATGGGAAACAACAGAGTTAGGAAGATAACTGCTGATTTGATAATCAGTCTCATTAGACTTAGTTACCAACTGTAAAACACTTGCGCTGTCTGGTCCTTTACAGATCGTGCACCGCACAAACACTGGTTGAGAATTCAAGTGCTTTCAGAACTGCAAACGAAGCCCAGTTCAAGTTTGAAGTTGACAGAAATGTCGGGATGTTCAACTGGAAAGATGCATTTTGCACATTTAATCAGCAGACAAGGAGTAATTAAAGGACACGTTGTGTTGCAGTTACGTTGGGCGCATTTGCGTTGGGTAATGTTCTCGCATGGACGTCTCCAACTCAGGGAGAACTTGAAGGCACGCTCGGAACTTCAGATTGGTCGTGGGTAGGCGCTCTAATGGCACTGGGAGCTGCTGTTGCTGTTATTCCCATTGGGTACCTGATCGACAGAATTGGACGTAAATACACAATGTTGGGACTGGTTCTGCCATTCACTGCTGGATGGGCACTCATTGCGTGGGCGGAAGACTCTGTAAGTGTGTAAAATACACTGGCATTATTGTTAATCTCCATAGATTTACATTATTCAGACACAGAAGTGATCACACGTCAGTTCCTGCATGCAGGCTGTTAGACAAAGATGCACGTGGGTGGTTTGTGCCGTGTAATGTGGCGGAAGTTTACCGATGTTTCGCATCCAACTTGATTACAGAGGTAGCAAACGCCTCTGAAATGTCAGTAAACTTCTACCAGGGTACGTGTTTCTTTGTACTCGCTGTCGTCAGAACGTGAAATCTCACAAGATGTCCTGTAGAGTACATGTAATGCTGAAAAAGGATGAATTGTTAATAATTCTTGTTTATTTCCTTCATTATTCATCCCTAAACCCCCAAAGTTAGGTGAAGGATAGGAAGTTAAGGATGGGAGACCCCAGGTATTGTCAGGAGGTGAAGTGGGCAGGGGCAAAGCCCAACTACGAAAATGAAAGCAATAGCAATTATTCAGTGTTTGCATGATGAATAAACTGTTGCCACAAACTTTTTTTAGACATTCATGCCAAAAATATTATGACAATACTATATTAATTAAGGAATAATGATTATTGGTGTTTACTAATTACCGAGTGATGATATTAATCTGTGCAGGCTCCGATGTATATGGTGGGACGATTCATCACTGGCATGATGGGCGGAGCATTCAGTCTCACGGCCCCGGTATATACGAGCGAGATTTCTGAGAAGGAAATACGCGGCACGCTCGGAAGTTATTTCCAGTTGATGGTGACTATTGGCATCCTCTTTGTCTATGGACTCGGCAGCGTGCTGAGTGTATTTACTTTATCTGTGGTCTGTGGTGTCGTACCACTCGTATTTGGCGCCGCCTTCATATTCATGCCAGAGACACCACTGTACTACTTACAGAAGGGGAAAAAGGACGATGCACAGGCGTCTCTGCAATGGTTCAGAGGTAAATATTGTCGAACACGCCTCATTCATCCATTTCCCCCCAAGAACTTCAAGCAGTCAATCATCATTGAATGACTCAGATGTGTTTGCCATTTTCATATCATTCAATTCGTTAAGATCTGAGGTTATCACGACAGAGATGTCTTCTGGTCAGTAACATTCACCTTGATGATGAAGGCAGTAAGCACCTCTAGAACATTGGTCAGTATCTACGAGACTACACGGCACAACATCCCAGAAGACAGTCGTCCTCTCGTACTTGTTATTCTGTGAGGAAATAATAAGAATGTAACATTAGAACCTGATGGAAAATGTTCGTGAAACTGGTAAGAATATCATTCCATCAGAGTGCACCGTAATCCCCTATTGTCATTTATACCAATAATACAAGCGTCCGCAACACTGCAGCCACTTAATGTAGGATCCTGGAATTTTATGTAGAATGCTACAGATTATAAACTGAATGAAGTGATGAGCCATCGTGATGTAAAGATGCTTTCCTCATTCAATTACAAGGAGATCAGTTGACTCTGCATAAGTTTTGTCCATTTGTTCTGTTGTTCACTGACAAAACATCCCTTCATCGTTTATCTAACATTTACTTTCTATTTTGTATGTTTGGTAATGTTGGTATTTTGTTGTTAATAACGTCCGTTCATTTTCCTTTTAAGCAATTTATGACTTTTCATAAGGCTGTGTTCGCAGAATCAAAATAGGGGCGAAGCACCCAGCCAACCACTGAATTTCAGTGATGGTGACCATCACCTCATCCGTTTGCTTTACTTACTTAAATTGAAAACTGAAAATGAATTTAAGGGACGAAAAATTGAATCTTGCCGAGTGTAGGAAACGTACCTTCATATTTTGTGTGTAGGACGAAATTACGATGTCGGTGCCGAGCTTCAGGAGATACAGACATCGGTCGATGAAGCGGCCGCTCAGAGACTGTCCATTACGCAAGCGTTTCGAACGACAGAAGCTAAGAAGGGGCTGATGGTCGCGTTTGGCCTCATGATTTTTCAGCAGCTCAGTGGAGTCAATGCCGTCATCTTCTACACCACTGACATTTTTAGAGTGAGTATAGCGAAAACTGTATTTTAATTCATAACATATATGAACTAAAGCTTTCGCTGCGACGTAACTGAATAAAATGTTCTCAGGTGATCAGCCACGTCAGATGGTTAAACAATCAGGGTTCTGCTGATGGGGACAGAGACGATCCCTGAAACGTCTGTTTCATCGTTTAACCATGTGACATGATAAGTAACTTTGTGATTTAGTCTTCTCCTGATGTAAGGGTGCTTAACCCTTTGATGAATACAAACAAACCAGTGCGTTAAATATCGTGGTCGAGCAGTTAGGACTCCTGCTTCGTATTCGGGAGGTCACAGGTTCAAATCCTGGCCTGGAGACCGGCTATCCTGATTGGGGTTTTCCTCAGTCCAGTATGTTGCAGGTTCTTGGTTGGTACAACAATTTCTATCAGGTGTTTCTTCCAGTTTCCATGTTAGGATCATGGTAATAATTTATTGCTGTCAAGTTTATAAACATGCCCAGTATTTAGTTCTGGCATTTTACTTGGAATATGTGTATATAATACAAGTAATATATTGTTTCAGAGTGCTGGAAGTACACTGGAAGCATCGACAGCAACGATTATTGTGGGCGTGATCCAGGCAATTACCACATTCATTTCAACACTTGTTGTTGACCGCCTCGGTCGTCGAATTCTTCTTCTTATCTCTGATTTTGTCATGGCCATCTGCACTCTACTGCTTGGGGTTTTCTTCTACTTGAAAGATGAAACAACAGACGATGTCTCCGATCTTGGCTGGTTACCGCTCACCAGCGTGTGTTTATTTATTGTCGTGTTCTCGCTCGGTTACGGTCCTATACCGTGGATGATGGTAGGTGAACTTTTCGCTCCGCAGATCAAAGGATTTGCAAGTTCCTTCTCTTGTGTCCTCAACTGGATTCTGGCATTTATTGTAACGAAGTTCTACTCTGACCTGGCTGATTCATTTGGCTCGTATACAACATTCTGGATATTTGCCGTCATATCAGGTATTGGGACGGTGTTCGTTTTCTTCCTCGTCCCTGAAACAAAAGGCAAGACGCTGGACGAGATCCAGAAAGAACTCGGTGGGTCTGCACCTGCCACTTCAGTTGCAAATGCAGAGAGTCCGAAGGACTGAGTTCATCACCCGCAAGCTGAGGTTCAAACCAAAGAATTACATTGCCACGTCCCAGTACTAAATGTACTGCATATTAATTCTACATGCACAGGAATTTTACGCTCAAAAACGTTCCTATTTTCTAATGGTGGGTTTATGTACATTAAAGCAATACACTGGTGTTTCGTAAACTCTTGAATGTCCCCCCACTGGTAACGTAGTAACTCGGATCAGATGGTAACGTGTTCGAATTTCAGTGCTGGACAATATTAATGGATCTGTAATTAGTTAATGGTCAGATCAGTTACCTTTTCTATGAAATGTTTTCATGGTTATTTACCTTTTAATTATTTAGTTAACTTCCAGCAGCACTGAAAGCGTTAGTTGACGCTCATATTCAGTAAGCTCGTCAATTAATTCCTAGGACTAATTAATCATTGTGCATAATCTTTAAATTATTAACGTTGCCATCATTTCTTAAAATTCATACTTTTCAAAGTTTTATGCAAAGTCCTTTAAAAACTTTTAATGATAATAGTACTTTTAAATGCAGCTTGCTAAGTATGGTTATGTACCATTAAAGACAGGCTAGGTATACGTTTGAGAAACCTGTGTTACGCCACATATCATTATGAACTGTTTTCCAGCCCCATGCAGAATTATTTTAAGAATGTTGATATTTAATGTAAATAATAAATTTGTTTATTGTTATTTGTATTATTAAATTAATTGTTCTTCAAGTCAACACATGTAGGTAATAATAATGTTAAAGCATGATTAATATCATGAAAGAAAATGGTCTTCAAATTTTTATAAATTGCCAGTAAGAACAGTGTATGTATATATGATAACGGCATTTTAGGGATGCAATCACAGGATTAGTAGTTTAAAAGACATACAAGTACGCTACTTTGCCCCTGCAGTATCTTTCAGTGCAGTTGACACAATAATAGTCTTAGTCCTACAGTAAATTAAGTACGGCTGCCATTTTAAATATTACAAAAAGGGATTAAGGTATATCAGAATCTGTAAGATCAGATAAAATAAGGATTAGGAAGGAACTGACCCTGTACTATACCATCTAATTACATTGTATGCTAATGGTAGCAGACGAGTCAGCTTTAAAATTATGTGTGGTTAAGTATGGGAACTAACCTGTGAGGGTTTACGTACAAATGGTCCACCTAGGGAACATCACCTGTGACACTGTAGCAAGCAGATCTGTGACTCGCACATGGGTGGTCACATAAAATATACATTTCTTGGTTTTCAAGGTCATTTGTATTAGAGGCAGAGTTTTAGAGTTCTTAAAGCAATAACAAACACAAATGAACACTAATGCTAAAGTTATGAATCTTAAAGGACAAGATAACATTATTTACAGCTTATATTTCGCATTAAATAGCTTTTTATAATACACACAGCTGATCATATGTGAGTCAACCACACGTAAGTGAATATCTCTCACTGTATGGTTAGTCATTTTGAATCGTGGATTCAACCAAGGAACTTCTGTCCTGATGAAACTGAAATGTATGAACTGAAGCTTTCGTGATGACTAAGTATAATGAATTTTGAAGTGACTTCACTACCCTGAGGACGAGGATGATTCTCAAAACGGTGTTTTCACCTTTCAACCGCCTGACACGGCCTGGTAGCCTGAGAAAATTTCATGAAACTGAAATATTTGTGGAGAGTGACAGTGACGTTTATTCACAGAACAAAACTGAGGAAATGTTATGACATGAAACCGCGACTGCTGTCATCACAGCAGGAAGAAGTGACGTAAAATAATACCAGTAGCGACACGGTAACTGCAGTGGTAGAAACAAACCACTGATGAAACAGAACCATGACTCATTCAAGGTCTCTTTCCAGTGGCTTTACAGCCAGTGGATATCAACAACGATGAATAAACTGAGCCCCAGCAACAGAATGAAGTGCATGCCGACGGTGCGAACGGATCCTTGCAGCATGGTGCTCAATTTCTCCAGAAATTGGGGAGAAAAGTTTGAAAGCTACTGGAATCTCTAATGGAATGGACAACAGTGAGCATTTCATCATCATTGACACTGACAATGAACGCGAGTTATCGTAATGGCAATGATCAAGTAAGAATGGTTTGAAGCAATTCCATTCATCAAACTGGAAAATTTGCTGCTCATTAAGCCATCCACTCCCGACAGTTTCTCCTTGGATATCTCGTCACTTTCATTTGCTTTGCTGTTCTTATATTATCCACTTCTTCACAAAGCAGTCTTTAACCTTGAAAATGGAGGAAATATGTTCCTACAAGTCAAAATGGTGTTTCACCCCAGAAGACCAGCAACAAATCTTCACCACCATGAGAACCTCAAATTTCTTACAGAGATACTTAATTCATACATGACATTCCTACCTGATCCTCCGGATTTAATATCTAAATACTTTGTGTCAACATCAGTACAAGCTTCTGAAGAACTTTTTCCCTAGACACTTGTTAACTTACTTCTTTCAAGGTGGTATGCAATACACAGGCAGCTCTCGGTTTACGAACGAGTTCCGTTCCGAGATGATGTTCGTTATGTGTATCTTGCATTCCTGAGCTTTTACGATATGTATCGTATATGTTAGCAGTCATTTTAAAGCACTAAATCCACGTACTAAACATTGAATGGTCTATACCAGTGGTATTCAACCTTTTTTGTTCACGTACCCCCAGATGTAATTTCTCTTTAACTTTGTACCCCCAAAGTTGTTGGTGTATAATTCAAGTTATACATAGTATATAATCTACATCTAAAGTAAATTAAATAAATTACATTACTGATTATTCAGTGTTTATCATAAAATAATATTTTTTTTTAAATTTCACGTACCCCAGGTTGAATACCAATGGTCTATACAATACGTTTTATTATAATGTAGGTATGCGTTATGTTTTATTGTATACGATACGTAACGTAAAATAAGAAAATAATAATAATAAAACATGATATCGTACTTGTTAATTTTAATCAGAAACATAAAGAGTTACAAAATAGAAATAAAGAAAATGAGTACCAACATAATATAAGTACATACATATGTATTCAACTTTTACTCGTCAATGTCTTCATCAGGGTTCAATATTTTTTGCATAGGTGCAGATGAGGTAGATGGAAGGGCGTCTGATACTGAAGAAACAGCTGGGTTTTTCACTTTTTTAAAATATGTTTCTATAGAAGTTTGCACAGTTCGTTTCTTTTTTCCTTCAAAAATCTCACTGTAGCATGCAAGACAGTCATAAACGCCTCTTTTCACTTTTGCAATTCTTTCCATATTTGCATCTTCTTCTTCAAAGATTGCCAACCCCTCAGAAATTGATTTAAAAGCTGCAGCCATTTTCTGCCTTGTAAATGTTCTCGGAGGCTGTGGAATATCAGATTCTTCTTTTACTTCAAGATTTAGATGCGTCTCTTTTTCAATTAATTCATCTGTTGTCAATTCCTCAAAACGCGAGTCCAAAAGCTCTTTAACATCGGTCACGTCAAGGTCGAGGTCCATTTTATTGCCCAGTTCAACAATTTCTTCAGTCACGGATTCTACCGGCTCCTCAAAATCACTTAGATTATCCACAAACTGTGGACACAAGTTTTTCCACACACCACTTAAGTTCATTTCCTTTACATCCCCCCAGGCGCCAGCAATGTTTTGTAACGCATTATAAATGTTGTATGCCTTCCAGAAATCCCTTAAGTTCCTCTTCTCTCTGTCTATAAAAGCAATGGCTTGAGAAAAGATCCGCCTTAGGTAATAAGCCTTAAAGGAGGCTGTAATGCCTCGGTCCATCGGCTGAACAATAGAGGTATTAGGAGGCAAAAGAACAATCTTAATTTTATCATTGAAATCAGCTATGTAGTATGGATGACCAGGGGCATTATCAAGCAGTAATAAAATTTTGAAGGGTAAATTTTTAGACGCACAATACCTTTTCATTTCCCCCACAAAATAGTTCTTAAACCAGTCTTCAAACAGTTCCATTGTCATCAAAGCCTTCGTATTAGATTTCCAGATAACAGGAAGGGACGACTTCACCGTTCCTTTTAAAGCCCTTGGGTTTTCTGATAAATACACGAGCAAAGGTTTAAGTTTAAAGTCACCGGCCGCGTTACCACCGAGTAAAAGAGTTAGTCTTTCTTTTGCAAATTTATGTCCAGGTGCACATTTTTCCTCTCTAGAAATGTATGTTCTGGAAGGCATTCTTTTCCAGAAAAGTCCCGTTTCGCCAACACTGAACACTTGATGAGCATTGTAACCACCTTCTACTATTATTTTCTCTAGCGACTTCAGGAATTCACTTGCAGTTTCAGTATCTGCGCTCGCCAATTTTCCCTGAAGTCTTAAATTGTGCAAGTTGGCCCTCCTTTTAAAACGTGAAAACCACCCAGAGCTAGCTGAAAAACAGTCATTTGCATATTCGGGTCCAGCTATCTTCTTCAGATCTTCAAATAAACTCCTAGCCTTCTCCTGAATTATTAACGAGCCGAGAGGCACGTGGTCGCGTGTTTGCCTCTCAATCCACAAAATTAAGAGTTTTTCCATCTCGTGCAACAAAAAATTTCTATTTTTTACTATTCTACTCATTAAGACAGGAGCTGCTTCCTTAACGGCTTCCACGATTCTTTCTTTATCTTTAATAATTGTGGCGATACTCGATCGGTTCACACCATAATGACGAGCTATGTCCACCTGCTTCTGACCTCTTTCCGTCCTCTTTATGATGTCTAGCTTAGTTTCTAGACTAATACTGCGTCTTTTATTATTACCACCATCAGCACCAGTGCTGCTATTTCGCTTTGGACCCATTGCTTAAATTTTTAAAAATATATTTTTAAGTCACCAAATGCAGAACTACACGTGACCATCTAAAACAACCTTGGCAAAGCAAGTGATGATCCTATTGTATTATAATAGGATTTCTTTCCCACGAGAAAACATTCTACGCTACGTGGCATGTAAACCGACGTCTTTTTACTGGCTAGATTAGTTTTATTAACCAAGAACTTCAGTATAATTATCATATAATAATTTTCTGATAATTATTGTAATAAATACATTTTTTAAAAAGTTTATTTATTTAAATCTTACAATTATGTTCACTATGCGTTTGGCATTTCGTTTTATAAGGAACTCTATCTACTGGCGACTTTGAGAAATTTTGAATGAATTGTGACGTTCGTTACGGCGAATGTTCGTAAATCGAACGTTCGTGAACCGAGAGTTGCCTGTAGTGAATATTCACACATGCAAAATCTTGTATTAAATTAATTTTGTATAGACCCCGGAAAATGTTACAAATTTTACCATTTTTGCATTTTAAGATATTACCGTACAATAGAAAAATCAGCGTTTTAAAATTTAAAATGAAGTTTACTCTTGCACATATTTGAATATCAAGGTTTTGCATTACTCGTGACTTATTAAAAACACAGTAATGGTAGTAAACTACTTACCACATTACTTTTAATTCCAAGGTTACAAATACAACTCTCATTCTGTTTTAAGTCTGTCTCAGTTGACAACACATTTATTTTTTATAATAAACACAGTTTCAATTCCCAAAATCCCTTGATATGAAGATCAAAGGAAATGTTTTATCAGTCACATTACATGTAGCTTTCTTGTTTCACTACCAGTGGATTCTGATGTAGACGCTGTGTCCGAGTGACCAGAGTTTACCGCCAAGCAACGCTCTTTCTCCCTCACTGCAGCCTCCAACTCTAGTTTCCTCTGCTCCAGCTTCAACATTTCAAGTTCCAATTCGAGCATTTCTTGTTCAAGACGGATTTTGTCACATTCTTCTTTTAATGTTTCGGTTTCACACATTAGCTTCTCGATCTGAAAAATGTTTAGCTCAATTTTTATCTTTCAAAATTACTAGATACAAGTTGAACAATTGACACATTCAAATATTAGAGCAATTTAAATTTCTTTCATCTTATTTAATGAAGTTTAGGACTCAAATCTGCAGTTTTAAAAACATTTAGCATCAGTTATCAGGAAATACACGCCTGTCTACATCATTTCAAGAAAAATGAACACTGGATCACTTTGATATTATTAAAATTGTTCTCTGTCTACATCATTTCAAGGCAAATGAACACTAGATCACTTTGATATTATTAAAATTGTTCTTCTGAAAATAGGTTACAAGGATATTAATGGAATTAAGTAGCTCATAACACCATTCAACAATAGACTTTCTGTGATGACAGTGATAATTTCACATTTCATAAAAATGTAAAATATATAGCACAGCTGATGGCTGAGGCAACTCATTTGCCTTATATGGATACAGAAATGTGTCGAGCAGAAAAGAATTGTGTGTTTATGCATACCTCCAGTAGCATTACAACGCATTTCAGTTCACTCGGCTCATCCATACAGCTGCTCCCCATGCTTGTGAGAAGGGCAAAGATTTTCTGCTACTAAGGAGAAGAAAAATAATATATACATACGTGTGTGCATGCGCACGTGTTTGTATACATATACACATTATTTAAGTACAAGAGCAAAATATCACAAACAATGAACTTAATTAAACAAAAATGTTGGGACAAGCGTACAATGTTAAAACGTGATATTTAACAAAACAATATAAGAAGTACTGTAACATTAATAACCCAAATTTTATAAAATTAACAATGGCTTGAAATCAAAACTGAAAGCTTATTCATCCATTACAATAGAGAGACCATACAACATATTTAAAAAAAAAAAGGTCAGTTGTCAGGGGTACAATTTGAAACATCACTACAAAATAAAATGCAATGATCATTACAACTGTTTTAACGCTCAGCTAAGAAATTATGAAATCAACTTACTGAAATCATTACATCATCAAAAAACTATACTTCAAAGTCACTGCAATGAAACCAAACCCAGGATCAATGCCAGTTAAAGCAGCCAAACTTTGAGGGCAATTTGAAGGTTCCAGAGCATTTCATTAGTGTTCTTTGCCTTCAGAAAAGTCGTCTGTTTTTGAGTAAAGGATCTGTCTTTAACTAAATACAATTTATGGTTGGGTGTGTCTTGGTAAAAGTCTTAAACAATATGGCTTATGTGGGAATGTTTCGCCTGCCAAAATGTAAATGCATCATTGTGTGTCTTGGAAAAAGTCTTAAAACAATATGGCTTATGTGGGAATGCTTCGCCTGCCAAAATGTAAATGCATCATTATCAGTGGTGTTAGTAGCAGCATATCTATAGTGTTAAATTCTGGCAAATGTCCACGAGAAGATGAACATATGCCAGATCCGTCAATATTGTTCTATTTTTCCAAAGCAAACTGCCACAAACAAGGTTCTTAAAAAATGCAAGGAATGGACAATGAAAAATGGATGAACCTAAACTGTTTCCTGCGTCTTAAATAGCAGCTGAACAAACAAGCCTCCTCGTCAGTCAACATATCAAGTACCGATAAAGTTAGCAACTACGAGTTCAGTGCAAACTATCATAAACTTCAATCCGTCCGAAATTAGGTTGACTTACTTACCTATGACTTCCTCCACTGCAAACACTCCCTTCCAGGGCATAAGTCAGGGTTAAGCCCTGCTCCTGATAAATTTTGTGGATTTCATTGCTGATAAGCTAAAAATCACTACCTATTACTTCACAATGATTGGCAAATCACGGCAAAGTTACCTTCAATAGCTACAAAGTAATCTTCACACTTTAGTGTAACCTGTGCATAACGCCCAACTGTACGTATCACGGATTATAAAAGATTTATCACAGGATAACAGAATTAATCTACACTTCAATCCTCTGTTCCATTCGTAATTCTTCCATCTGTCACACATGTCGCTGCGCCGCTTCATTTGTATAATTAATAGCTGAACTCTCATTCCACGATTTAAAAATTCCATTCCATTCGTGGAGAGCCCTTCGGCTACCTAGAAGTTGAGGCAAAAGGGACAGATTCTTCCCGACCTCAGCAGGAGAGGGGATTGATATTAAAATCGACACCAGAAATTGTTTGGCAAAGCTTTCATTATGATCCTATTAAAGTTCATATCCCCATACTTCTGCATGGCGTGGAGCTTAGTTAAGCATAAGGAGTACCTTTAACTTTTACATTATAATTTATAACTTTCAGGTACACATAACCTCATTCTGTTTTGCAAACGTGATTACTTGTAACACTCCAAGTAGAGCTGTACTGGTGGCGTTCACAGAAAGAACGGCAACCCTATTAGCAGATATAAAAGACTACTGTCGAATAATAACCTCCACGCAAATGTCGGGATAGTATCTTAAATCATGTCACGACCGCTTCCTTTCCAATTCATTATTCATATCATCCCCTAATTCGCCGCTATATAGTCTGATACAATTGAAAGGCATCGTTAAATAAACTATAAATAATCAAAAACATAAATAGCACTTACGACTTGACTACAATTGCGCGATTTTATTCCATGTAATTATTTACGTAGTAGGAGTCAATAAACACCATTTTGTTAATCTGTGGTACAGCAGCTGACTGGTCGAGCTCGGTCATCAGATGTAGAATAAACATCGCGACCACAGAACATAACTCGAGATCCTGGATGAGTTTTTGGGATCGGTGGGAGTTATAGTCTGTGTAGAAGGTTAGTTTAGGGTATTTAGTCTTCAGTTTTTTTACGTTCTTTCTAAACTTGTGTTATGTGGATTGTAAAGTGATTAGTATTTATGTGTCTGTTGGGCAAATTTTAAATTACAGTTTGATATGAAAAGCGTCTCTACGCGGAAGGAGAAAAATGAGAATATGCCATCTATGTGCAAATCTTCAGAAGGGAGAAAAGTGAAGTCCGTTTTTGAGCATCTGTCACATCATACGAATCAGGGTCAAGTGGAAAGGCACTTGGACACGGGAGTACCAGAAGTGGTTTGTCATAACAGCGAATTGTCAAATAGTTTTCATATACGAAGGACGAAAAGAATTGGAATGGGTCATCCAGTACATTATTTACAGAAAGCTTTAAATAGTTTCACCCAGAAAACAAGAAGTCAGAGCCTGCCCAGTTGCTTGGAAAGTAAAAAACTTCATTGTTTACCTAATGACGACAATAATAAGGAAGTTTTTGATTCGAAACTACCAGATGAGAGCAAAAGTGTAGATGTAATTACATTAAAAGTGAACAATATAGTTTCCAATGAGACTTGGTTTCGAACTTGGCCAGAAAGAGGCGTTGATAAGCTTCCTTCACATAATATTAATTGTATTCATGAATGTGCTGATTTTAACACAGAGGGGAGCTCTTTAGGTTGTGAATGTGAAAGTTCTGGAAAAGATAATTCAAGCTTCCAAGGTAATACTCCAGCCGTTGTTAGTGACAGTGTCTGCAAAGGTGTGTCCAATACTAACCAGCCGTTTCATAGTTTTTCATGTGATAAAACTATGGAACTTAACACATGTGCTTTAAAAACAAATCCAGTACAATCTTCATCAGTGTGGAAAAGTGATTTATTGTCAGACTGTGATACTGGAGATTATAATCTGAGTGTGCAACACAGTTCTTCAACAAAGCCAGTGCATACCTTTGAATCAAGTGGCATCAGCCCTGGTAAAGCTCCAATCCCTTTAAGAGAACTTCTGCAAAACATTCCAATAGCCTATTGTCCAATAACAAGACAGTTGCATATAATTAGCCCAACTCATTTAGACCTACAGCAACAGCAGCGGGAATCAGAGAAATATGGGGACTTGAAGAAAGAGGCGCATCAGAATGGTTTGCAGCAACAACTTGAGTGCATAGAAGAAGAGGGCACTGGTGATGTGTGTAGGAGTGGAGTAAGGTGTGTTGAAGATGATTGTGTAAGCTTTGAATCTCCTCGCAGTACATTACAACGATTTGGTACTAGTTCATTTACGCGTACAGACGCCAGTTCCTTCTCAAGCACTGTGTCAAGTTTGAGTGATGCATCTCCTTCTACTAATGATGACCCAGATGACCATACTACAAAAATGCATGGTTGTCCTTCTGAACTTGGTGATTGTTTTTGTGATGAAGTGAGTGGTGGAAAGACAAGCAAAAAGGGAATATCAGGATTTTTTAGTAGGTAAGTCTTACTCTCCTTTTTTGTTAAATAGTTTTATAATAGTTTTAACCCTTCAAGCCAATATTTAAATGTCCCCTAAGCTAACTGGCTTATTTGCTTTGATGTGGACATCTTTCAGGTATTTTCTGATAGATTTGGGGCCTTAACCTAAAAAAGGCCTAGATCATATACCAGTGATTATAGATATCTTAACAGTGTCTGATTTGCAACTAATCTCGTTGGCAGTGAGTTGCACGAGTTTCTCCTTACCCTTTAAATGCAATTATCACGCCAGTTAGGTGCTAGTGTTCTTCTCTTTTTCCAGTAGCAATTTTGTATTCAGGTCTTCAAAGAAGGCATTTTTGAGTTAAACCTGAAAAAGGCAGTTTTATGTTGAACCATATTTGTGTGATTATGTGTGCCCATCTTCCATTCCCTGATTGAGAAACAAGCATCATCTTATTTACGCTAGTTGACCGATTGTCACAAAGCATTGTAAGAACAGCATACGACCTGAGACCGCTTCATGATTGTACTTTTAAACTCACTGTTCCAATCCACATGGAGTTGAAAAGTAGAAACAAATGTAATTGTGGAAAGTGATTAGTTGAAAAATATACAGGAGAAAGATGTTTTTAGGGAACAAAATAATGGCATATCAAGTATTGTTATTTTATAATAACTTCACACACAATGTTTGTATTGCAATATCCCATAAATTCAACTGCAAATATTAAGTGGGAAAGAAACCAATGGTTTTTGCATTGAAAATTAAATTCTCTCTTTAATGTCTATGTGTTCAAATCCCTTGCCTGTAGAACCAAATCTCATTTTCAGTATGAACCTGCCACACATTTCACAGTATTTATTGTCTGAAATATTAACTTTAGTGTGAAATTTAATTTTGAATAGTTTAAAAACATTTTAAACATTGAAATAATATCTGCAGTTCCTGCAACAGGCCATAGTCCTAACTCTGTAGAAGAGTTTTAACTGTGTAAAAGTTTTGAAAGAATAAATCATTACTATGCCTTTATGCCTGGAATTGAACCTGGGATTTTTAGTTGGTTGAGGTTATGATATACTTCAAAGTAACTTAGATCAATACAAATAATGTAACATTTGGTTTGTTCGCTTTAAAACTAGATTTTGGTTCATAGCTCTTACTGTGTGGTCATCTGTTGGAAGTTGTGAAGGGTCTGGACTGTAAATAAAATCTTACGGGAAACATTTTGTAACGTCTTTATTATACATTTGGAAATGTAATGCTGCCTAAATTGTCTCTCTATGCCAGTAAGATACTGATATAATGAATAAACCTTGTAGATAGATGACAACAGTGATTGGACTCTGCCCTGTTGATTGCTTGGTCATAGTCTTTTACATAATAGTAATTATTATTGTGGTGATGAACTCGTGGGTTTCATAAAAACAAGATATCGTTTATGACAGAGTGCATTAGTAGCATAAAGAGAAGCATACAGTGAGGAACGGCTTCTCCGCTTTAGTAATGTTTGTGTAATTTGAAGAGGGTGGCAGGGCTTTTAAATAATTCTCTTGGCAGTAATTCTAAGATTAGCACTGAAAATGCTTGTTATTAGCTTGGAACTTAAGGTTTTAGAGAATTATTTAATACATGATTTTGTTATGTACTTCTCCATGCAGTTCAAAAAAAAATTCTTGTCTGAAAGTTTTTAATGGAGGAATAAATAGCATTTTTGAAAGCACGTCTCTAATATTTAGCTTATAACTTGTTTTCTTAATGTATGATATTTATCATAAATAAAAATTTCTGCTTGTAGTTCCTGTTACTGCTGATTTAATTTGGTGTTACGTGCTTCCCGTGTGAGGCTTTCGCTCTGTCAATTATCACATAGCCCCCACGTCCAGAAACAATTATCATGTATTTAAGGAAATTTTAATGTGTAAATGATAGCACCTTCTCCCTCTCTGTGAGCACACGTGGATTTCACAAGAAAGTGTTGGTAATCAGTTACGGTTTACATTGTGTATTGGGAATTGATTTTAGTATCAGGTTTATTAACTTCCGAAACAGTTTAATGTACATGAGGAATCTGTGGGAGGAATGTACAGTAAGTGAAGGTGTTCTCAGTATTGTGTCATGACGTTTGTTTCGCTTGATAAACAATGCCTGTATTAACCTCTAAGGATATAGAAGCTGTCGTCACTAAATTTGTTGATGTAGAAACGAAATAATTACACAGAATACACGAAGACATGCGTACATGTTTGTGTGTTGGTACACGTTGGTATGAGTTGTAGTTTATATGTAAATTTCTTATGCTTTCAGAAATGTCTTTATATGGAAGTCGTCACGAGATTCTCGGAACAACAACAGCAGCAGCAGTAATAACCGATGTGCGACGGCCCCTGGTTGGAAGTTGTTTGGGAGACTTGTGTCAAAACCATCAGAACGAGATGCTCCAGATATGGTAGGTTTTTTTTAAATCTTCCTCGTACAACATGAATTAAGCTTAAACCATGTTAATCACTGAACACGTTTAAGTTTTTTCTTCTTTGTGATTTTTTTAAGGAAACAAGTATTTATTTTTCCGTTCGGCATGGTAATTTTGTGGAAGTTTATATCAGTTATAATTGACACACTTCTGCCAACGTTAAGGTAGTTTCATGAGTTCGTCGTGACAGAACTGTTAACAAAACTTCTCTGTTTATAGTATATACAAATTGTGGTGCTGTCTCACACTTATTATTTCTTAGTTTACCAATCAATTTTATTTTGTAGGATTTGAGGTTTTCACAGCGGTGAGTCTGAAGATTGCTGTCTTCTGGGTTATCGCGCCGTGTAGTCTGGTAGATTTCCACCGTTTCATTAATTGTTTTCAGGTGTAACTGAAAACCTTCTCAGCTGGGGTGATTAAGGCACCCCACATGACTGTTCCTGGTTTAATGTTATTGCTTCATGTTTTTAAGATTTCCTGCAACAGTCGTGAAATTTTTTATGGTTTTCCTCAGTACTTCTATACCGGTTCTGGGTTATTACTTTTGATGCGCCACAACTGTCCCCTTCCGCATACTTCACAGTTCCTTATTCATAATCAGTGTTCCATTTGTGGTCGGAATTATGTAACCTCAGCAGCTGATCCATAATAATAAAATACACTAAGGAAGAAATAGTTTGAATGTTAATGTGGTTGTGGTTTAAGGAGACCAGCCGAATGCCAGAGTCACCACCGAGTATCATCTCAACAGGCAGTAACAGTAAGCATTACGAGGACATTGTGGCCAGCAGCTCAGCTCTCATCCTTCACAGCCGCCCTTCTAACTTGCCAGCCAAACCGCCAGATGAAGACCAGAAGCACCGCCAAGAGTACCAGCAGATGGTAGAAGCTGCTCGCAAAAAAGGTGCGTTTCTCTTTTGCCAGCTGACGCTAATGCCCCACCTCCTCCTCTTGGCTGAGCTGTGGCATTCCCCCCCTTCTTATAGATTCCAAGGCGTTTCCCCGATCCTGACCCTATGCCCCACTGGTCCAACCGAGGCATTACCTTGACTGACTGGTCAAACTGATTTCACACACACGGCTTACTCATCACCCTGATTATGGAGGCAGCAAGGACCTCTTCTACTACAAGACTACATGGCACTACAACCCAGAAAATACCCGTCTTCAGTGTCACTGGTGGTAAACTCTGTCCACCCATAAGTTGTCACTTTTCATTTATCCTGGAACTCGGTGATGTATTCCTCCAATTTGTGGGCTTCTGTGGTGTTCAGATTTGGCTTTGCGCTGATTACCACCCATTGTAGTAGATCACGGAGCACGCAAGTCCTCTGAAGTTGGGTTCTAGATTATCCTCTTCTAAGCATGAATCCCATTGACCTTGCTGGCCTGGCTCCATGAGGTCATTCACCACCTCAAGGGGTCCCTTTAGCTGCGCCATCAACAACCTCTCGCATCTAGCAAGAATCACTTTGTCTTTGGCCAGAGTAGGTTTGGACGTTCATGGCCACGCTCTGGGTCTCCACACCGACACTTAATTTTGGCCAAGTCATGGCACATGGCACCCGTAATCTTCCTTTGTATCACAAGTTTGCAGGACATCCAGTCCCAGGATGAACCCGCCTGTGGCAAACACCCAAATCTTCACAATGCTTCACCTCTACCAGTGGAATCTTCAAGGTGGGGTCATCTCCCCTTATGACATTTTCAGAACGCAATACACTGCTGCCGCTCCTTGTTCGGAAACGGACACTGTGCTTGCTTGAAACTTGACTGACTGCTGTGTTCCATTACTTTCTGTATTGTGCGATTTGGTAAGGTGTTTGTTTTGAAGTCGAAATGAATGAAATTTTACCTCCTGCCTTGAGCGAAGTAAGAGATGAAAACCAATGGAACTTCTAATCTGCTACATGTGTGTCACAGTTAGATACGTAAAAGTTGTACCTGCAAACTGGCTTACCTGCGTGTCATAGATATGGGCAAACGACTTGGCGTGTGGGCGACATTACAACTGTGGGAATTGATGGCCATTGTGCTAGTGATCTGTTCTACTACTGCTACTTTCAATCGCTAGTAGGAAAACTCTAATCCGTAGACCAGACTTGCACATTCAGATTTGCCTCTGTGTGTGGAAATATTCAGCTGTTAAAGTATCTCTGAGTGTAGAATTTAAACTTGTAATATGAAATTTGTTATTTGGTTTTTGGAGCTTGCAGTGAAAATTTTTGACATGTTACGAATATTAATTTTATGTGAACCATAACAGTGTCTGAGAATAAACCGTAAATAATCCGATGACCCCATTCAGTCCCAGTCAGAAGTTCAGCTATAATTTAACGACGGAGCAACGTGAACAGAAAGAGTCATATGGAGGTAATGATGACAAAATGAACAGCAAGAAGACTTCAATTTAGTCATCACAGTAAGCTGAGCAATAATGAGGTTATGAATGTAGGATTTGAGGTTTTCGCGGCGTTGAGTCTGAAGATTGCTGTCTTCTGGGTTGATGTGCCGTGTAGTCTGGTAGATGTCCAACGTTTCAGAGGCTGTGCCGCCTCCGTCACCAGGGCGATCGATCTCCCTGATGACAGAGGCGGCTGTCCTCTGAAACGTTGGTGGACATCTACCAGACTACACAACGCAACAACCCAGAAGACAGCAGTCGTCAGTTAATGAATGTATAATATAAAAAAGACAAAGCTTGCATAGAATAAAAGTGTTCATATCATTATTTTGCTTCCGTCTGTAAATCCACCGTAAAGAATGGGTTTTGCGCTGTAGGGTGAGTTGTAAATGCTTTATTAACTTATGTGCATTTTATTCTGCTTTGTAATTCTTGATTACTCCATAAAATCAGAGATGTGAAAGTGGAAGAAGACATGGTCGCTATCATGGTTCATTACTGGCATTCGTCTGAGGAGGCTGAGGAAAACCATGAAAACCCATGCTCAGGGTAGGCTAACAGAGTACCTTCCATATCCATGTAATAGAAGTGAACCTAAGATGGCTGTCTTCTGGGTTGTTGTGCCGTGTGGTCAGGTAGACGTTTACAAACATTTCAGAGGTGCGTGCTGCCTCCATCATCGTTGCCCTGTGAATAGGTGAACCTGCTTTGTCGTATGGGAGGAAGAGGTTGCAGATGTGTTGGTAATTCAAATGATTAATTTTGAACACATTCAGTTCTTGCTTAAAGTGTTCAGAAGTAATGGACGTTGTATGAAGACCCATATGCTTTGATACACGAAGACTTACGTGTATTTCTGTGCACATTTGGAGCATAACTAACTGAAGTGAACACGTATTGAACAAAATTTGTATAAAAAAAAAACAATTTTGCTGTTGGCCTTACAGTCTTCAAGATATTTAAAAGGTGTTTTCATGCTGTTATGTTGAACCGGTTTTATTCGTTGTACAGAGGTCAAGGAAGCAAAACTGCGCAAGAAGCAACTGCAGAGACAATTAAAGATGGAGGGGCAACTAGCTAATGCTGCCTATGTCTGGAACAATGAGATTCTGCCTAAATGGGATACTATGTAAGTGCGCTGCAAAGAGATTAATATTTTTATCTTTACCGTACCAACTATAAATATAGGAAATATGCATCTTTATCGAAGTGCAAATGTTAATGTTGAAACCACTTCATAGTGTTGTTGGTGTGGGGCCGTGATGTGTCAAAAGCGTGTTTATTCGTAGGGTTCTGTGATCCGCGTGATAGGTGGAGACGTACTGGACCCCAAAAGGACCTCTGCAATGCAAACACTGTCATTGCTTTTGGCACATAACTGTGGATATACACCTCTTATTGCATTAAACGAAGATCACGCAATTTTAAAATACCATTGAGATGTTAAGTAACATTTTGTAAATCGTGTTCTGAGTATGGTTTGTATTTATATTTTGTTTTAATGGAAAGAAACTAGAAATTCAATAACTTCATTCAAGTGTGTCTTCAACAGGAGATCATCTCGCAAGGCATGTGATTTGTGGTGGCAAGGCATCCCTCCGTCTGTACGAGGCAAGGTGTGGAAGTTGGCGATAGGTAATGACCTGAACGTGACGAACCAGCTGTATAACATCTGCCTCACTCGCGCTCAGGAAAGGTTGAGAGCAACTGATTCTGTGGACGTTGTGGAGGTAGCAGCAGCAGCAGCAGCTCGAACTGGAGACGGCGCGGACAAGGAGGCGAGCATGGAACTCATTCAGCTTGACATAGCTAGAACATTTCCACATCTCTGCATATTTCAGTGTGTAAGTTTATGCTGATGACTTTTGTAGTGACTTTGCAGTAATTTTATACTTTAACTTAAGAAATATAGAATTAAGTCGCAAAGTTATTCTCTACATGCGTGCATACAGTTATACAACAAGGCACGCATTCTTCCATAAGGAGTAGAAATGCATAATGTTAATCTAGTAAAAGCTGTCCTGTTGCACGCCATATAGCCGCTTGTGGGAGAGGAGGTATAGCTCTTATTCTTAACCTTGGAACTACACAGGGGTGAGTGGTCAGCGTCGTGCCCCGGCTGTGCTTTACCCCGCTGGATGCAGAGGCTACAGGAAAAATCCCGTGCCCCTTTAGGGGATCGAACCCCTGTCGTCCAGCCTGTCACTATTGACTGAGCTGCCTTGGATCTTCTGGGGGCAGCTAGTGTTAAAGCAAAAGAGAAGTGAGGATCATGTTGAAAGGTTTCAGTGGCAGGTTTCTGTGAACACAGTAGTGCATATGTGGGCTCACAAAGAGTGGAGAATTTTTTAAGAAAATTTTTGTAGAGGAAGAAGATGATATTCATACTTACTCTATTAGTCATTAATATTGCACCAAAGAAGAAGTACAATAAATTTTTCTTCAGTTTCATGCTCAAGGCTTGCTAAAGATACAAGTTTATTTGTTACTCTTTCAGTTGAGTAACTTGTTGAACTGTAAGGGCGGTATCGCACTAGGATGCCATGGCAGCGACACCAACAGCGATGCCATGGCGTCCAGCTGCCAGAAAAAGACGCCAGACAAGCTGCCAGCTTTTGACGCCAGTCGAGCGAACAGATGGATCGACATTATGAGAGCACGAAATGAAGGGCTATTAGCAAGGAGAAATGTCCACTTTTATCACTTTTGAGGAAATGAGATTTACCTTTATCAAAACTACATACCTGGAGTGAATTTCAATTCTGTAACAAAGAAACAAGTAAAAAAAAATTCTCTATACACACACTTTGCACGTCCATACCATTATTAAATTTGAAATATTTCAGTTCTTGCAAATCACATGTAATATTACATGAACAAATTTATTTAATAAAACATAATAAAAGCAGGTTTCTTCTTAATTCACGTTATTTGTGATATATAGATTGCTAAACAAAAAACCTTAAAAATCAAGTTTCCATATTGGAAAGCGGCCCCACAAATAAAGCCATAGAAACACTTCTTAGCTAATTCTTTCTTTTCTACTGTAAATAAATCTCCTCCAAATATTTCCACAAGTTCTACCCAGTTTCTTTTTTTCAAGTCCCGGTTTGCGTATTTAATAGCAGATGAATCCCATAGTCGGGACTGAATTTCAATTATCAATCTTTCGGTGTCGAAATTATCCACGTTTGGAAGAAACAGAAATACACACAAGCACATTCACGCACGGACGTCAATGGACTGGCCAGACTGTCATGTGATGTTGATTTGGCCTTGGCCGTGGCAGCGATGCCAGTAGCATTTGAACTTGGCATCTTGGTTGGCAGCGATGCCAAGTTGGAAGCGCTGCCAGACGGATGCCAGGTGCGATATATGACTACTAAATTAATGCATTGAGTTTGGCCGAGATGCTGGCAGCTGCGCCATGGCCTCCCGTTGGCATCCTAGTGCGATACCGCCCTAATAGGCCGGTTGAATCCAGTACGAATCTACAAAATGTTTTAATTCGGCATGTCTTGTCTCATTTGAATTTTATGAGGTTTGTAGTTGAAGTTCATGTATTGAATTCAGGTTTTTTGTGGTTATCCATAGTCTTTTCAGATAAATGTGGGGTGGCGTCATCTTTTTTTTTTTTAATGTTAAGTACATTTGTAATCCTTTCTTCAAATTCGGCCAGGGCGGCACTTATCTCGTCTTTAATACTGTTTGTCTCAGTACTTTTTCTATTCTGAATTCCGTCAGTGTCATTTTTTTTTTCTGGCAGCTAATTACGGCTTTTCTCATTGTCTCCTTGTTATTTCATCATAACCCGATGAGTTTCTTGGTTTGAGGGAATGTGTTGTACTTTTTATCTCAGTTTCAGTGTTTGGAATAATTTTAATACCAGTTTTACGGGAAATGTATCTTTTAAAAATTAAGTGGCATGTTCTCTCTCACACTTCATGTAAATTTAAGCTTTTGTTCCATCCATAAAATCTGATCTTGCTTCTACTTCGTAACTATGGCTGTCGTTTTGTTCGTGTCAGCTGTAATGCATGATGTTTCAATCCTTGAATCTTATTCAGTGTAGATGAGCACAGGTAACGAAGACCCTGTTTGTGAATTTAAGCGATGCTTAGATATGTGTGTGTAATGCAGAAATATTATATGTTGATGTTCTTCGGAGTTGTGATGCTGTGCAGACCCCTAAGTAGATATCATACTATCTTATTCGTGAAGATGGAGACAGTATGTTTCTCTGAAATGTTGGTATCTACCTACAAGTACATGCAGTGTCACAACCCAGAAGAAAAACATTAAAATTCTCAACACTGAAAACTGCATATCGAATAGAAATCTTATAGTTAATTTTTCTATGTGTTTTATTATTATTTTTTTTTGGGTGAAAAAAGGTTCCAGATATGTCACAGTTGTTTGTACGCTTTATACAATATAATCAGTTCACCCCAATAAATTTTGTGTGTTACACCCACTAGAATAAAATAATTTGATATGTAATTTTTGTAAACAAGTTACGGTCACCGGTAGCAGTAGCTGATGCTTTGGCTTCTTACGCGGACATTTTTTATGATAAATTGTGAATGGTTTATTTTATTTTTTATCTTCATAATTGTAGATGAGGAATAAGAAAATATAATTTCATGAATAATACAAATTGACTTTCATAAGATGGTAAAGTTGCGTCATATTGTGATATAATAAGTATATATTAAATCTTGTCCGTCTAATCACAATAAATTCTTATGTATATAATTATATAAAGCTTCAAAACGATAAATAATTCAAATACAATTTTCATACATTATGCTAGCATACATTTTTATCAGATTTTTACCAGATATCAAACGATGTTCTTTTTCAGATTTTTATTACATTTTTAATAACACACTCGATGTTGTTCTGTATATATACATCATGCTCAATGTGACTTTAGTGTGGGTGAACGTTTTGTTGTTTTTGTATCAGTCTGTAATGTAAATAACATAAAGGTTAAATGAATATTAGTAAAATAGAAAACAAAGTAATATATATAGACGGACAAGATTTAATATATACAAATTGACTTTACAAAATAACCGAATAATAAAATTAGCAGTTTCCGAAAGCCACGTAATCGGAAGTACGAATGATGTAGGATTTGAGACTTTCGCAGCGAGTACAATCAATGAAATCTTCCCACATCATAACCGTGATGATGAGGACAGAGTTGGTTCCAGAAACGTCGGTTTACTACAGTAACCAGTTGACGCGGCTGATTGCCCGAGAAGATTTTATTGAGAAGTACGAATACTGCACGTAGTACGGTGTGAGTGAAGAGAATTTCAGCAGCATGTCCATGAACGTACTCTGAAGTAAAAATATTCACAATATCTGATGCTGTGATGCTTCTCTTTTTATTTGGCAAGCTAAGAAATATTTGTTACTGGATAGTGTTGCTAGTTCTGGAGCACACGTTATTGGTATCACTGTCTTAGTCGGTGGGTCTGTTCTACTGTTAGATGGCCGTGAGTCTCTAGCAGTTTTGCTGAAGAAATTGTTTTGTCTTTCTTTCAGGGTGGGCCCTACTATGACATGCTGCACTGCCTACTGGGTGCATATGTCTGTTATCGTCCCGACGTGGGATATGTGCAAGGCATGTCCTTCATTGCTGCAGTTCTCATCTTGAACCTGGAAGCTGCAGACGCGTTCATTTGCTTCGCCAATTTGCTCAATAGGCCATGCCACATGGCATTCTTCTGTCTCAACCAAACTCTCGTTAGTATCCAGCTTCTGTATTCATTTGCAATACTTTTTTTACAGGCATTCACGAAAGAGGACCTGTAACAGTTGTGTAACGATGCAGCAAACTCCATCAAGCAGAATCCTTGTTTAGACTCTAACGATCTCTCAACTTTAAGTTCCATTACTCCGTTCAAAATAGCCCATCATTCATTCCCTTCATCAGCTACTTGAATCCAGTCTACACCTTCATATCGTACATCTTTAAATCTGTTTTAATATTGCTTTTCCATCTGTTCCTAGGTCTTCGTGGTGTGCAATTTTCTTGTTTTTTTTTTTTAAATGTAATTTGTGATGTATTCATTGAATTTTTGTCGTACAAAATATTTTTCCGTGTGTGTATGTAATACTTTGGTATATAATGAACAATATTTTCATTACGCTCAAACTTAACTATACTGGAGTTTATTATATATTAAGATTTTAGTATACTTTTTAAAATTAAAATTATTCAGGTTTCTTGACGTTGTGTTTTACAATTTAAGTAAGTGATAAGACACTGATTCTAAGTGTAAACTGTGTCTCTTGAAGTTGAATGTTTATATGATAGAAACTGTAGTAAATGGTTGTAATTCAAGTTACTCAGTGTTGCGTTTCGTAGTCACTGGAATTCGAAACGGTTACCCAAAAGAAAAAGATGATTTTTTTCGTTATACATGTGGCTTTCTTAAAAGATAAATGACTGCTTTTGGGATACAGAAATAATTTTGTAATAATTCATTACAGTTACTCAATTCTGATTTAAGGAAACGCTAAATCATTCTGTTGTGTCTGAACAGATGAATGCCTACTATGCAGCGTACAACGATTTCTTCCGCGAGAACCTTCCTCGACTGCATACTCATTTTGTAGAATCATCCCTTAGTGCCGATCTCTACCTCCTGGACTGGCTGTATACAGTTTTTGCCAAGGCGATGCCACTTGATGTGGCTTGCCGCGTCTGGGACGTGTTTCTTAGGGATGGAGAGGAATTTCTCTTCAGAGCTGCATTGGGTGAGTGATTAATAATATTACCGTTACATCCAGTGCTAGATTTTAGTGCCAGATATAATCATATCATTTAACCCATGTTTTAAATATATTTTCATTATACTTTACTGCTTGAAGTGTTATTTGTTCAAGTAGATGGCATGTTTTTGCTGATGATTAGATGTCTGTCGACATATTAGACTAAGTGTTTTAGGGGAGATCCTCTGTAATTAACATATACCATATGATACATTATTATATTATAATTGGTTCTGAGGTGTTCTTTATGCAGTCTTTTATTATCTTTAATGAACTTGAGCCTTGGTTATAGATTTGTAGTCTTTGTAGTGTTTTATACTGTATTGGCTGCTTGACGATACAGTGGAAACTGAGGAATGATAAATATTAGTGTATACGTATGGAAATGTAATGTGTTTTCAGTCAACTTTTTAAAATGGAATTGAAGTTATGGTGTCTGCGGATTTTAGATTTTGTGTTTGAACTGAGTGGTGCAGTGGTGATGCTAGGAATGAAGTTGGTTGTGAGTGAGTAGTAGTTCTTTTCAGAGGGACTGGGGGTGAGAAGGGGTTCAGTAGAGTCAAAAATGGGGTAATTTTAAGTAGGATTTAAGGTTCTCGCAGTTGCTGTCTTCTGGGCTGCGGCTCCATGTAGTCTGGTAGATGTTTACCAACATTTCAGAAGTCCTTGCTACCTCCATCATCAAGGTGCGAGTAAGCACGACCAACCAAGTGCCAGCCAGAAAGCTAAATATGAACAGTGTCCTCTGCAAGACACTGTCCCTAGCTTACACCATTTGTTCGTGCGAAACGCTTTACAGGAAATGGTAAACAATGCCTTAGAGCCATAACAGGTCTTTGCTTACGGCAACAGAAATTTATTGTGGTGGAACGCCTTTTTATTATATCTTCAGTTTTGTGCAAAGTGTATTTACCGTTCACAACTGTTGGAGAACGACTGAATTTGAGAGAATGTTGCTTTATATTTGGGAGATGCAAAAATTGTGTGTGTTTTTTTACCCTTATTCATTTTTGGATGGCCATGATTAATTCTTCTGGTAACATGTGTTTGTCAGAAGATAGCAGAGTATGTACAATGTTGTGACCGTGTAGGTGTAACAGAAAGAAAAGTTGAATCCTGGGCCATCTACGTACAAGGTGCAGTCCCGGTGTCCTGAGAATGGCAGTCACAGACTTAGCATTTGCCTGTTACAGGGGTTCTGCACCTTCATCAAGAGACGCTTCTGAAGCTGGACTTCATTCACGGTGCGCAATTCCTTACCAAACTTCCGGATGACCTTGCTGCCGACCTACTTTTTAGATCAATCGAATCAATCCACATGACCGTGGGGAAACAGAGGTTTGGTGAAGTCTTGGCGCATCACGTCGACAAATGCTGGCACAAGCCCAGATGAGACGTATTACAAGAATATTGTGTAAAATGTGGGCTCTTTTTTTGAAATGCTTCGTTTTGTAAATACTTGAGATGTGCTGAAATGGGAAATGAAGTACAAAAATTGGTGCCAGTTGAATCTCTATATCTCATTATCAGTTAAGTGACTGTATAGCCAACATTTTGTCTGCCCATACTCAAGAGTGGTGTATATATATATATACATATAAATTTATTTTGTTTCATATAAACAATAAAGGGTTCTATAATCTGTTACTGCTCAATATTAAAACGTTCTACACAAATGTATATCAATCAATTTGACTGTATATTATTGCAATTGTTACATATAGAATTTCCGTCCGTTATATACTGTGTTTGGTTGAAAATCAATTAAAGCACTTTTTGTGCTAATTATTTTATTTGGATGGAATGTACGGCCATAATTACATCTTTGCTTTATTAAATCAGAGGAACCTTAAAGTATTTTCAGTCATTCAGAACCTTAGTTGCCGTGATCCCTGTTGTATAACTTTTATACAGCCTGTAGACACCGGTATTCACTAGAAAATCAGTAGATTAGAAATTTTCAATTAAATAAGTCCTTTAATGTAGCACACTTACCAGCAGTAAGTGCAACAATATTTATATTATAATGAGAATTTTTCTTATGTGTATTGAGTGTATCTCCGTGCCAGAATCCTCAGTTTTGCCTTTTCAGGGTGGTTTGAAAATGAATGGGACACATTGCCTTTTGGTCTACGCTTATGATATTAATCTGTTGGGCGATAGTATAAATACTATAAAAGCGAACACAGAAACACTCTTAAGTGCTAGTTGAGATGTTGGTCTAAAAATAAATGCAGAAAAGACAAAGTTTATGATCATGTCTCGTCATCAGAATTCAGGACAGAGCCAGAATATAAGGATAGCTAACGAATCGTCCAAAAATGTGACGAAATTCAAGTACTTGGGGACGACACTGACAAGTCAGAATGACATTGATGGCGAAACAACTGTTTCTTTCATTTCAGTGTTTTTGACGAAGATAAAATTATTTTTTGTTAAAGTATGCTAAAATGTTCTGTTAAAGTCTTTAATTTATAAAAGTGATGGTATGGATTCATGGGACTTGTTAATGTTGTATTTTTGTACTATCCGTGCTGTTATTCCTGTATTCTGTGTTGTTGCCGAGTGAGAATGTACTTACTATGTTTCTGTCGTTAAGGTAAGTATGAAGCGTGAACTGCAACTCATGTCTTCCACGTATGACACTTGTATAAATCTGCTGGAGGGTTCTTGTGTCTGTGATATATATGTAATGAGATGACAGTGCATGGGTCTGAAAACGTCTGAAGATTTGAAAGATTTAAAACACCGCCATTAGTAATGCCAGTCCCTACTGATTTTATTACTGTAAGTTACAAATGTGTAAACTACGTCCTTACAAGGGTTAACGAAATGTGTGTGCACAAGATTCAGTGTTTTAATGTTTTATCATAATATTTATCATGTAAGACATGGCTTAATTGTAGTTAGTATTTTATTTTTATCTATATTTTACATACAGGATAAGGAAAAAAGTACCTTGCTCTTTCAAAGTGATACAGAAAACATGTGGCATACTTTGAACCTTACACTCACACCAGTCAATAGAAAAACTCTCAATTGACTCAGGTGGTGTTGTTGCATGCCTCCACTAGATGCCACTAGTTTTGAAAATGGCTACCCAATAACAAAGGACTTGGTGTGTTCTGCAGTTGGCAAAAAAGGACCCTGTAACAGCTGTGCATCATGCATTTAGCACACAATTTCACATTGAACCACCCTGTTGAGTAGTCATTTACGCCACAATCTTTGCCAGAGTTGAGGCAGCAAATCACAACTGCCGTAGCTTCCATAGCTGGTAATTTAATCATTGAAAATTTCACACGTATAAAATGACCCACTTGCAATTCAGGAAACAATTTGTTCATGATCTTTTCCTTGCATTGGAGTTTCTCAAATTATTTGGTGCCTGTAGCTGACTTGTCCACTTGCCACAGGCAGAGCTGGATGGTTGAGTGCATTCTTAGGCTTGGTCTAAATGTGTTAAATATTTAATAAATGATGTCTTTGGAATGTTCAATCATTTTTGCAAAGCTTGAAGTTATGAAATACTCTTAATTTCCAGATTAATTTGTCTAGTTTTGTTTTGGGCAGTTGATATACTTTGAGAATATGGTCAAGTGTGATTTGTGAAGTTGCTAGTACATTTTAATTGTAATTCTGGAACCCTTGCCTGTAATGTTTCCAGATCATTATACCTTGTATGCTCCAGTTAAATGGGCTGTAACAATATTCAGTATTTCATTAATCATATTCAGTTTTGGTATACAAAGGCTTGAAGTTGTAATGGATAGATATAAGAAAGTGAAAGCATGTCAAAGGGGCGTGTTTTTGCCATCAGTTGCAGTATGTCCAGGAATGCAGTACATTTCATGATACTGCAGTAATATCTGCACTACAAGAATTCTACAAGGTGTTTTGTACTGCAATAGCCAGTGAAATCATTATTCTGCACAATGTGGGACGTTTGCATACTAGTAAATATAGCCTGTCAAGTTAATAATTTATTCGAATACGAAAACCAAAGATACGGTATTCTCAACTTTGTGGGACATGCATGTACATGATTGCTACAGCTTGCATAATATACGGGTGTTTTTAAAAGGATTGGGGCTTGCCAATGCAACTTCATAGACTGTAAACATACTGTCAGAGTTTTAAGTATAAATGTTGCTTCAGCTGTGCAACAAATCTTTTTATTCCTCTTTGGACCAGCACTTTTAGTTTAGCTTATTATTTAGGGACTTTAGTAACGTTAGCGTTTACAAACATGAATTTAGTAATGTTGGAAAATAAGTTGGTAAGGGACTTTATTAACGTTAGCGTTTACAAACATGTATTTAGTAATGTTGGAAAATAAGTTGGTAGCAATGTGCTGATGTGCAAATGTTTTTGTAAATCAACATGGTACCAGTCGTAGCTTTTAAAATTGTAGTTTCAGTATAACACTTTTCGCTCGAGAAGCAAAAACTATTATCTAATTGCCGAAGTAATGAACTTTTAATTATGAAAGCACATACACGTTTAGCAGGAAAATACGTACGTAAATTGTGCTGTCTAACCGGTAGAGTCTACGAAGGATATGTGAATATTTTTATTACAAATAATAAATCATTACAATTTAGCAGGCGAGGGTTCAGTACCCTTCCCAGCACAAATTTTTATAAAACTTTATCTCGAAAACCACCTTGGCGTGTATTGTTTTTTGGAACGGACGACTTCTCTTTGGCAAGCTTGAAAATGCTCTTCAGAGAACTGTAAGTGAATTTAGAAAATAAATGGACAAATTTAAAAAAACAGCAACATTGGAAAATGCACTATTCATCCATTTCCACAAACACTTTTCCGCATAATTTTATAATCTTAATTTACATTTGTTTACATCTGCGGATTTGCAGTTTTCTTGTTTATATTATCATGTTGTAAATCACACTGATTGAAGTTACAGTATGGCTGAATGTGTTCCGTGTGAGAATGTTTCGATTAGATTTTGTAACCAAAAACAAAATCTTGTTATCAGGAGATTGTGAAAATTGGAATGTTTTGAATGAATTCTAATGTTGATCAGTTACAAAATATCCTGGAATCGTGCTGAAAAGGCATGCTCTGAATATAGGGTTATGTCATGTCATTGGCCACTGGAGGTTTCATATTTGAAGATTATCGTTTTGTTGTCACACCAGGGAAGATGGTGGATTGGTGAAGCAGCTTGCAGTTGTGACATCACTTAAAACAAAGAAGAATCCTGTAAGAGACTTTGCGGTGGAAACTGAGTTGTCAACATTTAGTTGGCCGTGTCATGCCTTCCCTGGAGACTTTGATGTTGGACTGGTGTCTTCATTTGGACATCTCCTTCCAGAATGCGTAATTGAATCATTCCCTCTGTGCGTATACAAAGTGAGATTCAGTTTGTCATGAAGTATCATAAGAAGGATCTTGATGTCAGTGTTCATGTGATGCAGAGGAATGCTGAATGTTCATGCCAGCCTCCTGCCCCGTTGGAGAGGAGCTGCCCCCATCATCTACGCGATCCTTAATGGGGACTCCGAGACTGGAGTAACCATTATGCAAATTAAGCCACGCAAGTATGTATGCTGTTTACAATGTCATTAACAGTTAGTTATTACTATTTTATTTGCTCAGTTTGATTTATGTACCTCTGATCTGTGAATTTTTTTGCTGCAACGACTCACTCACTTCCCTTAACCGCATATTAATTTATTAATTTCTTATTGGTGATTATTTATGACTATTACATACACAGTAACTTATATTTTAATGAAGACAATTGTCTGTCCTTTGTTAATGTTCATATTGTAACTACAGTAAATTGTGTACGATCCAAATGTTTTACTTAACACTTTAATAGCGCGTAACATGGTTACATAGGCAATTACTGCCATAAAAGGTGATACTCTTTTAATTCCTATGATTGTGTAGTATTGTAATGTATGTGTGGGGAAATAATTGGGTAATTTTTCTGGGTATCAGGAACCAGTCGGAATTGTTTGCGTCGAAATTAGCGAGAATTTAAATTATTGGTTTATTTTTATCTTATGAACAGTTTTCATCAACAAATTATGTTCATAAATCAAGTGGTAATGTAATATTTTTGCTTGTATTTGGGCATAATATTTATTATTTAAACAAATATGAATTTGGTAGTGGTTTAGATTAGATTAAAGGCAAATATACATTCATTTCTGTACCTAAGAACCAATGCTATTAGTGCATGTAGGGGAGCGGTGGTAAAGCTCCATATATATATGCTTAATTTTGGCACTGGATACGAGGGTGTGGGGTCAGTACATGTAGTATGCTTAATTTTGGCACTGAATACGAGGGTGTGGGGTCAGTACATGTACGTCTCTAAATAACAGCAGCTCCGGGTATCCGTTAGATCAGCAGCTGGGTGGGCCTTAGAGCCAGCCTCGATGTGGTGAAGTGGAATTTTTCCCCCCACTGGGAATCCTTTTAGTTTAATTTACCCTTCTCTATATTAAATTTTTGTTTCATCTAGTAAACAGAAGTAAAACACTAATTCTGTGGAAAGTTTGGTGCTACACGACATATTTGTGCTAAGGGATTCCGGGATCAGAGCTTCAAGATGCATGTACAATGTAAGCAGCAAACTGGGAACAGGTGAAGTGAGATCCTGAGGGTTTGTAGGGAGAAAAATGGGAATTTTTTTCTTGGATAACTACTTGTTGACCTTGGAATTGCAAAATGTTACCTGAAACTAAATGTAATGTCGTAAAATGATTTTAATCCAAAATACTAACACTGTAGTATCAAAACATCAAAGTTAAAAGCTTTTAGTAGCAAATCTTACCATCTGACATAATCGTAAGGCACTTTAATCCACCTCTGATGCTTGTAACGTTCCGAAGGTTAATGTGAACGTGGTTGTAAATTTGGTGAAATTTTGTGTTATTGTTAAAACTTATTCAATGCACATTATTATTATTTATTTTTTAAAAATTAATGTAAAATCTGAAATTTTAGAGACGGGTTTATTCTCCATCTTAGGTAATGCACTGAAAAGTAAGAAGTGGAGATGCCAATTCTGTACGGCTTGTTAAATAAAGATGTAGTACTTTCAGTAAACCACTATCAGTGGCGTAAATACATTAAGAAATGTACCACAAGCAGTAACAGGTCAAACAAGTTAAGTAGAATAAATTATTTTCCAGAAAAACAAGACCAAACCACAAATATAAGCCCCATCGCCTTTGTCGCAGATTGCGAGAGACACAGTAAGTTACGGACAGAACCCATATCAAATAAAAACGGGCCGAAGGGGGCCAGTCCAAAGGGTTTGAGAAAGGGCTGGAATGCGTTCGGAATGTAGATACCAATTAGAAAATTGATAAAGATCCAATCAAAGTTTGAGCAACAATTTTATATTGCTCAAGACAACCGAGACTGCAAGTGGTCAGCTAACTTTTTGACGATGTGTAATAATTTCAGAGAGAGGTCTGTTCCCCGTACCACAGAGTGTTAATTAAAGTAGACTTTCCATTACCAGCGTATGACAGATACGTTACATTTTACAGGTTTGACATAGGCAACATTGTGCTCCAGGAGCGTTGCCCTATCGCGCCTACAGACACAGCTCCAGTGTTAAAAGAACGACTCGCTGAGCTCGGATCAAAGCTCCTTCAGGAGACCCTGAAAGACCTGCCTCGCTGCTTGCATGAGTCCGTACCGCAGCCGGAGTCTGGCGTCACATATGGTATGAGTTATGAACGTAACTAGCCAATTACATATTTTACAAATAATGTGTACAAAAAGTTGTTGATACGGTTTCTTGTACCTAATAGGGGCGTCAACGGAACAGGGATGCGTGACTCCAGATATAAAGTCAAAAATGCTTGGTCAAAGAACATTTTTTGATGTAATGTTCAAAAGATACAGGGGAAAATAATTGTGATTGCAGTGGTATATTTTTAAAGCTCTGTCAGTAATTAATTTGTTTCAACGATAAATTAATATGGCGGCTACACACTTCTTAACGCTTCTTTTTCATGGTAAGTAAAGCTATCCCGTTACATGTCAGTGTTGGCACTTAGGGGAGAGGAGGTTTAGCTTCTGCTGATTCTCGACCTCGGCACTAGACGGGGGTGAGTGGTCAGCGTCACGCCCCGGCCACGCTTTGCCCCCGGGAAAGGACCCCGGTACCCATTGGACAGGAGGCTGGGTGGGCCCCAGAGCCGGTCTGGATGCAGAGGCTAGAGGGAAAATCCTCTGCCCCTGTTAGGGATCGAACCCTGGTCATCTAGCCCGTAGCCAGTCACTATACTGACTGAGCTATCCCGGCTCATATTTTTCATAGTATTTATGATTATTGCAGTTCTTCTTATACCATCATCAGACTGGGGAGAATTCCAGTAGCATATCGTAGTATGTCGTGTTTCCACCAACAGCGTATGAAAGCAGCAAGCAACTTTGGCACTTATTAGGAATTATATTATCTGATCAAGATATTTTGAGAAATGTAAAGGTTTCCGATGAAGATACGACATAACACGTAGTTTAATTCTGTTTGACTTTGTCCAGCATTTTTTTTTTATTAAGAGAAAACAACGTTTTGTAAGTTTCCGTCTTCAGGTGATTCGTGGAAGATCAAAAGAGTACTGTGTTGGCTTGTATTGCATCACAGACTAGTTTTCTCGTCCAAGAAGGCATGCCTGCCGTCTCGTCACGTTTTTATGCAGAGTGGTAGGTTAATTGTGTCCGTGAGTGTTACAGCTGTCGCGGATTGAAATAACATAAATTGAATTTCAGGGGGAAACAGACTCAAAATTCCTGTCGGATTCAGGCTCCCTATGCAATGGTTGGTTCAATGGGTGGATGGTAGGCGCTGTTTTATTAATTAGAATGTAATCTTTCCTTGTCTTTTATCTCCTCATTCCCGTTTTCTTTGTGTTTTTAAGGTTTGTATTTAGCATGTAGGGAATAGTTACTCTGATTGTGTAATTAACATCGTTCTAGGAAATCTTAGGTTTAACTTTTCAGATTTTGGCTGTGGAAATTATTTCCTACTTAATTTTTTACTAATGATTTTTTATGCATTATGAACGATGACATGTCTTATCTCGAAGATTTCTGGGTTGTTGCGCTGTGTAGTCTGGTCGATGTTAACCAACGTTTCAGAGGTCATACTGCCTCCGTCATCAGAGTATGAAGATTTCTGTCTTCTGGGTTATTGCGCTGTGTAGTCTGGTCGATGTTAACCAACGTTTCAGAGGTCATACTGCCTCCGTCATCAGAGTATGAAGATTTCTGTCTTCTGGGTTGTCTGGTCGATGTTAACCAACGTTTCAGAGGTCATACTGCCTCCGTCATCAGGGCGATGAATGTGCCAGTTAGGTGGGTGGGGCTAGGTTTTTTACATTTTCTGTATTCTGTACGTACAGTTCAAATTTAAGGAGATTCTTTCTTGGTTATTCATTTGTCTCTCCTCTCATACCTACCTTACTTAAAATGCCTGTCAGCTCCTAGAAGCATAGGTGTGATTTAATGGTATGTAACCTAGTGGGGGGTCCACAGTGGCCGCGCGGTCTGAGGCGTGGGTTCGAATCCCACTCAAGCCATGGATGTTTGTCTGCATTTTTCTGTGTTGTGCTGTCCTGTGTACAGGTAGAGGCCTTGCGACGGGCCTATCCCTCGTCCAAGGAGTCCTACCGAATGTCTATAGATCAAGCCAACGAAAAGTTGGGACCCGCAGTGCTCAGGCACTTGAAGAACGGGTCGTTCCCAGTATCCCAGTAACCTGGTAGATTTTGTGAAAAAGAAATATATATGCAATTGGGTTGCGTTGTCGGTTTATGACTGGCACTTAGAGGGACTATTTTG